TGCTCTTCAATACACGAATGGATAAAAAAAAAATGTGGTATTTATACACAATGGAGTATTACTCTGCATTAAAAAATGACAAAATCATAGAATTTGCAGGGAAATGGATGGCATTAGAGCAGATTATGCTAAGTGAAGCTAGCCAATCCCTAAAAAACAAATGCCAAATGTCTTCTTTGATATAAGGAGAGTAACTAAGAACAGAGTAGGGAGGAAGAGCATGAGAAGAAGATTAACATTAAACTGGGATGAGAGGTGGGAGGGAAAGGAAGAGAGAAGGGAAATTGCATGGAAATGGAAGGAGACCCTCAGGGTTATACAAAATTACATACAAGAGGAAGTGAGGGGAAAGGGAAAAAAAACAAGGAGGAGAAATGAATTACAGTAGATGGGGTAGAGAGAGAAGATGGGAGGGGAGGGGAGGGAAGGGGGGATAGTAGAGGATAGGAAAGGCAGCAGAATACAACAGACACTAGTATGGCAATATGTAAATCAGTGAATCAGTGGATGTGTAACTGATGTGATTCTGCAATCTGTATACGGGGTAAAAATGGGAGTTCATAACCCACTTGAATCAAAGTGTGAAATATGATATGTCAAGAACTATGTAATGTTTTGAACAACAAACAATAAAAATTTAAAAATAGAAATTATTAAAAAAAGCTTCTATCCAAAATGTGCAAAGAACTCTTTTAAATGAAAGATTTTATTGAGATATAATGTATGTACCATATAATTCTCCCATTTCAGGTTGTATAATTCAATAGTTTAGAGTAAATTACATTATCATCTTTTCAAAGTTTTGTTAAAATATATAAAACAAAATTTGCAATTTTAATCATTTTTAAGTATAATCAAATATTGCTACATACATTCACAATGTTGTATAGCTATAAACACCATCCATCCAAAGCTTTTTCTTACCTTAAACAGATACTCTGTAACTATTAAGCAATAACTTTTTATTCCCTCTCCCTTAAGCTCCTGGTAACCTCTTATTTACTTTTCTATGAATTTTCTTAGTGTAGCTATCTCATGTAAGTGGAATTATACAGTATTTATCTTTTGTGTCTTGCTTATTTCATTTAGCATAAAACATTCAATGTTCATCCATGTAGTAACATGTATCAGAATTTTATTCTTTTTTGTGGCTGAATAAATTTTTAGTGCATGCTTATACATTTTGTTCATCCATTCGTTTGTGAATAGACACTGGGTCAATTCCACCCTTTGGCTTTGTTGCTAGTGCTTTTGGTGTGAATAATGTTGCAGTGCTCATTGGCATACATGTATCTGTTCAAGTCCCTGCTTCCACTCCTTGGGTATATATTGAGGAGTGGAATTGATGGGTTTATACTAGTTCTATGTCTATCTTTCTGAAGCACAAACAAATTATTTTCTATAGAGACTGTAACAGTTTTCATTCCTACTAGCAACATATGAGGTTTTCAATTTCTCCACATCTTCACCAACACTTGTTAGCTGGTTGTGTGTTGTGTGTGTGTGTGTGTGTGTGTGTGTTTAAATCATAGCCAACCTAGTAGGACCAGTGTTCCTCTAAACTATCAAGGTCATCAAAAATAAGGAAAATCTGAGATACTGTCCGAGACTAAGAAAAGGTGATAACTAAAAGTAGTGTGATTTCCTGGGTGAGATCCTAGAACAACAAAAAATAAAATGTAAAATGATATCTCATTGTCATTTTGATTTGTATTTCCCTACTAATAATGTTGAACATTTTTTCATATGCTATTGGCCATTTGTATATTTTGTTTAGAGAAATGTCTATTTAAGATTTACTTATGTTGGATTGGGTTGTATTTCTTTCTGTTGTGTTATATATTAGTTCTTATATATTCCCGATGTTAAAACACTATCAGATTTACAATTTTCAAATATTTTTCCCATTCTTTGTATTGTCTCTTTACTTTCTTGATGGTGTCCTTTGATGCACAGAAGTTTTTCATTTTGACACCAAATTTATCTAATTTGTCTTTGTTGCTAGTGCTTTTGGTGTTATATCTAAGAATCGATTACTAAATCTAAGTTCATAAAGATCTATGCCTGTGGTTTTTCTAAGAGTTTTGGTTTTCAATCTTCTATTTCTGTCATTGCCTGTTTTTAGTTAATATCTGTGTAAAAAGCAAGTTGGGCTTCAATTTTATTCCATTGTACATGAAAATTCAGTGGTCTCTGCACCATGTCTTAAAAAGTCTCTTCGTGCCTCACTGAATGGACTTGATATCCTTGTCAAAAATCAATTTACCATTGATCTGTATGTCTGTTCTCAAATCAATACACACTGTTTTGATTACTTTGGCTTTGTAGTAAGTTTCAAGATCTCTTTAAAACTTGTGTTGGCTATTTAGGGCTGCTTACTCTTCTGTATGAATTTCAGGATCAGCTTTTCTATTCTGCAAAAAAAGACCATAAGAATCTGAATAATGATTGTATGAAAACCGTAGATCAAAGAACTCTTAAAATTCAACTACATAGAAAAAAACACATTTTAAAATGAACAACATAACTGAACAGATATCTCACCAAAAAAATATAGATAGGAAGTAAGCATGTGAAATGATGCTCAATATCATATGTTGATAGGGAATTGAAAATTGAAGCAATAATGACATATCACTACCTACCTATCAGAATGACTAAAATTTTTACAAAGCAAAATGACAATATCAATTCCTGGAGAAGATGTGGAGCAGTCAAAATTCTTTCACTGCTGGTAGAAATGAAAAATGGCGAACATTACCTTAGAAAAGAATTTCATATAAAGCTAAAAACATCACCTTACCATATGATATAGCAATCACAATCCTACGTATCTACCCAATTGATTTCAAACTATGACCACACAAAAACATGCACAGAATATTTATAACAGCTTTATCTGTAATCACCCCAAACTGGAAACAACCAAGATGTCCTTCAATGAGGTAAATGGAGAAACACATTATGATACAAACATAAAATGGAATATTATTCAGTGATTAAAAATAGAAATGAGTTGTCAAGTCATGAAAATACATGAACGAACATTGAGTGCCTATTTCCAAGTGAAAGAAGCAACTCTGAAAAAGCTACATATTCTATTATTCTAATTATATGACATTTTTAAAAGGACAAAACTGTACATATAGAAAAGATCAGTAGTTGCCAGAGATTTAGGGGAGGAAAGAAGGAACAATAAGTACAGCCTATGGGATTTTTGTGCACTAAAATGATTTTGCATGATACTCTAGTGGTGGATGCACAAACTATATATTTATCAGAAACCACACAATTTTACAGCACAGTGCCTTAATGTATTTGTTTTTAAAAAATCTTTTAATAGGTTGGGGGATCCAAGGAATGTATATAGACTATATGACAAGAAAATTGTCATGCCTGTGTTATAAATGTACATGACAATCTCAGTGAAGTGGTTGGAAGGAAAAAGTAACTTGGGAAACAGTGGGGTTTGTAAGACTGATGGCAAAAGAAACTGTGCCTAAGTCCTCCAGTTTACAAAGTTGCTTCCATGGTGGCACAGTTAACAGTTTTGACACTATCCTGGTGTGTATACTGGAACTGAGCAATTGATTAAACAGATGGCAGATGTTGGGAGTCAGGCTTCTTGCTGTTGGAGTGACAATTTACAGATCAGGCCAGATTGGAGCCATGTGCTCATGGATTAGAGTTGGAGACATTAGTATGAACTGATTGAAACTTATTGTAGGTTCAGATAGTTGAATACAAAAACATCTACAGATATGTGTTTATGCCCAGGTTTGAACAGACACAAGTATATCACCTTGTTCTCTCTGTCAAGAGGGAAAAGAAAATGAAACCCAGAGTAAGGAGCATAGTGCTAAATGCAATGCCAAGATTTGGGTTTCCAATACCATGCCACAAGAAGAATCAAGGCTTCTTGAAAAAAATGAAGCTAGGACAAGTCCAGGCAATACATCAGGTGAATCTGGAGCATCTTTTAGTGCCAGAAAGTAAGGAATCATTCAAAAAAAAAAAAACTACATTATGGGAAATGTCAAAGGGACACAGAAGCCAACTGAAAAGCTTCCCATTGGCCCAAGCTGAAACAGTCTAAGCCTCAAAATAAATAAAGCAGTATTGAATTATAACCCAAAGTATAAAATAAATACTCATGAGTCTATTCTAATATAAATAAACGGTGACAGAGACAAATTTCCTTTGCAGCATAATCCCAAAAGAGTGGTAACCTTTCAGTAGAGAAATCTGACAAAGCACTAACGTGGTCAGCTGGTGAAGACTCAATCAACAGTGATAAATCATGTTTATTGTGTGTGCCCTTGATCTTATGTCACAAATATGGCACTTTACCTCTGTGATCTTCCCCTAAAAAACCCACATCTCCATTGTAATCATGAGAAAATCATAAGACAAATTCCCATACAGGGGCATTGTACAAAACCCTGACCAGTGTTCCTCTAAACTATGAAGGTCACCAAAAATAAGGAAAATCTGAGATAATGTCAGAGACAAAGAAAAGGTGATAACTGAAAGCAGTGTGGTTTCTTGGGTGAGATCCTAGAACAACAAAAAATAAATAAATAAAACAAAGACAACATTAGGTTAAAACTAAGGAATAAACTATGGGCTTTAGTTATAATAATGGGTCACTATTGGTTTGTTGATTCTAATGAATGTATCACACAAATGTTAAGAAGTTAGTAATTGGAAAACTGGGTAAGGAGGGTATATGGAAACTCTGTTCCATCTTCCCAGTTTTTCTGTAAATCTAAAACTTCTAAAAAGCAAATTTTAAACAAAACAAAAACCTGATGATGTAGATATTTTTGTCATTTGTTTAGTGAGGAAACCTCAAAGTAACTGGTGCAAGATTGCCCCCTACTTCAAGGGCAGAGGTACAATTTGAGTATGGGGCCCTTTCTACTAAATCTCATTGACTTTAGACTCTCTGTTCTCGGCTTCCTGCACACCCATTTATCTATGTGTGTGTTTCTTCCCAGGGGATGGCCTTTACACTTGAAGAAAGGCTTCAGCTAGGAATCCATGGCCTGATTCCCCCCTGCTTCCTGAGCCAGGACGTCCAGCTCCTCCGGATCATGAGATACTACGAGAAGCAGCAGAGTGACCTGGACAAGTGAGTGCCTGGAGTCTGTCCCCTCTATCTGATTATTGGGCTGAGCTGCTGTTTGCATATTCTCCAGCTAGGAAAGTCTGAGAACTCTGAGAGACCCCAGATCCAGCCTGTCATTAGAGTGATGATGTCCCCGAGAGAGAATTGTAATGACAGAGTCATAGCCGACATGTTCTTGGAGCACAGAGAAGAGAATATAAACTCAACTAGTGGTACCTGGGAGGTCTTTTGGGAAGGCAGGAGACCAGTCAGCCAAGAAGCACAAAGACTTCAGCAAACAGCAATGGGGTTCAGTAAGGGCATTTCACTGAGAAGGAAGAAATGAGGTGAAGATGTATAAAGAGGCATGTTAGGAAGTGGTACTTGCAGTATCGTTCCTGGAATAAAGGGAATGTGGTGGGGGATAAGGCAGATGGACAGGGACACCTTGTCCTGTGTTGGCAGTTGGATAGGCAGCAGTCACTAACCCTGCCTCCTCTCCGAATCTTCATCAGTAGACAGGTGGACACACAGACCCCATGTGGGAGACCCTGGGTCAGTTTAGCAGTTTTACTAAAGAAAGTAGTCACCTCTCAGGTCACGTGGCTACAAATTGGCACAGCCAGGATTTGTACACAGATGACTGAATCCAGAGTCTATACTTTTAACTTCTCTGTTATGCTCCAACTAAGAACAGCAGAACCTAATGGCTATAAAACTAGACTCTAGTTCTAAACTGAGTTCAAATCCACATTCCACTGCTTAATAACAAGTTACCTCACCTCTCTGGGTCATTCTCCATCTATACAATGAATATGTCAAAGGTACCTAACTCATAGGGCTTAAATGAAGCTAAAATGTGTTAGTCTTTGTGAAGTGCTTGGGGTAGTGCCTGACACATAGTAACTACTGTGTGAGAGTTTGTTAAATGCATGTGTCACATTGTATGGGATCTAGAAGAAATGTTCGAAGAAGACAAAATTTCCCTCTATGTCCTTAGAGCTAAATGACCAAGACTTTGGATCAGATGGTATTGCCTCCCTCAAGAGGAGAGGTCAGCAGCACCTCACAGTCATCCTACACCTATCCCCCTATGTTTTCCACATATCAACCATAGCTTCTGAGAGGTAGTGAACAAGCAAGCCTCAGCTCACCCCCACGCCCAAAGTACTAGATTCTAAGGATTTTACTCATATTAACTCTAAGGCCCTACTGCAACCCAGGTCAAATATTCTCTCCTTCTTGATCATTCCACTCAGTAGCCATGTCACTTGGAAAAGAAAACCAAAAATTATATAACAAATTCAACTAATAACATGAAACATACCCCAACTTTGAACAATCTGAGCCTCCCCCTCTTCTGTTAAATTCATAAAAATTAAAATAAGTCCAAAGTGAGATTTTCTTTATTAAAGATATTGAACTTTAAAAATTAAACTCCCCAAGTCCTTCCCTCCGTGGTTCTTTCCAGCTAGATAGGTCTCACTCATTTGCCAGGAAGGCACTGGAGGCTCAAGGAGAAATGAGAGTGCCCACCCCTGCGAGCACTAGAGAGCTCACTCTGAATGCTATGCTAACTATTTGATCCACTCATTCCCAGGACTCCCTCATTTCAGCAGGTACTTCAAGAAATGCCAAGAAAGCTTTCCAGCTTCCTTTGGGTAAGGGCAGTGTGGGCTAGTAAATGTTTAATAACTGGCTGTCTTTGGGAGAGAGTGGAGCAGAATGTAGAATTAAGAAGAGATGTGCCTAGATGGCTACTGGGTATGGGAATCCTCTACACTGGCAATGAGTTGAGATATTGGCCATCCCTACTGTAAGTCTTCCCTTCCTAAAAACATTGTCCAGAATGGAGAGTTCAGTGTCTTTCATGCAGAAGAAGGTGCTGAGGCTCCAGGAAGTCACAAGACTTCCTCAAAGTCACACAGCTAGTAAGTGGCAGAGCTAGAAGTCAAACACAGAGTGCCAATGCCATGTCCAGGGTTCATTCCCCTACAGCCCAGGTCTCTTCCCCTACCAGGGCATCTCCCTCAGCCCACTCCATGCAAGGGCCTCCAGTGCCCCCACCCTCTCTCCCAAGTGGTTGTCCAGAAAGACTGATTCAGCAGACCTCAATGTGAACCTCAACCCCTGAGTTTTCTCTCCCAGGGGTTTTTGCATTTTTAGGAGTATGGGTGAAAGGCTCTTTTTCTAGCTTGGTGATTTCAGGCTTCTGGGAACAGGTAAAAGAAAGATTATTTTCATATTATACCTCTTGAGATGACTTGCTACTGAGCTGTTTGTGCACTCTGCTCGTGACAGAAAATAGCCATAGGTGGTAGGAAAGGACAGTTTGTTTGGCACTCCTGCCTGGTACTTTACTGGGCCTACTTGACCTCCAGAGTACTTTTGTTCTATTTTCATTCATCAATGTCCATATCACTATCTCACACGTTGTTTGAGGGCACATACTCTGGCATCAGACTGCTTTGGTTCAAATCCCTACTCTTCCATGAAATCTTGGGTAAGTTAATTTCTCTGCCATTAGTCTCTTTATCTCTAAAATAACATGAATTATAGTACCAATCTCACAAGTCACTGGAAGCTTTACTGTAACCTATTTTGGACAGTACCTACACTGCGTGTAGTGTTAAAAAACTGAAGGAAGCTCATATTCTCCACATTTATTAGAGGTCAGTTCCCAGGCTTAAGGGAGACAGACAGTTTGTCCCTGATTGTCCCACTGCAGCTGAGCCAGACCCGAACCCTGGCTTCACACCAACCCAAGTGGCCTCAGCCTTTCCATAGCAGCAGCATCAAGGGCCTTCGGTAATCCTGAGCTCAACTTGCTACTTCTCTCCCTTTCCAAGGTACATCATTCTCATGACGCTCCAAGACCGGAATGAGAAGTTGTTCTACCGAGTGCTGACGTCTGACGTGGAGAAGTTCATGCCAATCGTGTACACACCTACCGTGGGGCTGGCCTGTCAGCACTATGGCCTGACCTTCCGCCGGCCACGGTGAGTGGATCTCAGGGGTCATTCCACAGAGGGCAATAATGACATGTTATTAGGCAAAAATATTGGCATTGCATTTCCTTCCAGAGTTAAAGAATTTGGGGATGGTTTTCTAAAGATGTCACTTTTTTGTCTTTTTGTCTTGTTGAGTTCATATATATATATATATATATATATATATATATATATATATATATACACACACACACACACATATATATATAATTTTTTAATAGGAAAAGTGGGAAGATTTTCCAAAGAGCCCTCAGTGCCAAGTGCCTGATATAGAAATGCACAGTTCTAGCACTAATGATCAGTGGTTATTAGTGTTATATGTAATGGAATATTAACAGAGAATATTATTAGCCTGTGTTAGGGTATGTAAACATACAATGTACCATGTATAGATGTGTAATTTACATTTATATGGGATTTCTAAATCAGGGTTTACAGTTGATGTGTTCTATGGGGAGCAGATAATCATGGGTCTATGACAGCTTTTTAAATTTGTGCTGTCATGAAAGGTGAATGCAAAGAATTGAGACAAAAAAGCATTTGTCTACAGTGATCCAAGCATACCCACAGATTCTGACTAGAATGCATGGGCTCTGGGACTCTGTAGTGGTGAAACAGGAGAGTAGAGGAACTGGGTAGAATTGACAAGGGATTCTGCCCAAAAGAGAGAGTCCTTTGTCTCCTTCACACTATCAAGGGGGTTGGACTAATAGGGGACTGCTTCATACTGGTTCAAGCTTCACTCAAGGTCTTCCAAAAGATCAACCACAGACATTGGTGTGGCAGCAGTGAGGGGTTCCATGCAGGTAGAAACAGGCCTCTGCCAATCACTTGCTCCCAGAGAACCAAGTTATCCTTTGGTAGAGGTAGACAGTGTATTGCAGAAGCTAGAAGCACAGCATAGGAAATGAGTATGAAACTGACCAAGCAGGGAGCTTATAAATGAACCGGAACCAGGAGAAAATCATAACTGCAAAGGCCAACTATAATCCTAAAATCTTTACATATCTTGCTTAATTATCTCAGTCCCCCTGTAGGTAGGCACTTTCATCATTCTATTTACAGATGAGGAAGCAGAAGACAGAGAAGTAAGTTGCTCAAAGTCACACAGCTTATAATTCTCAAAGCCAGGACTCAACCATGCTGTTGGAATCACAGTATTCTGTCCCATGGTTCAGGTCTGTGCACATTTGGTGGGCATTCAGGGTGGGCGCCATTGAGCTCCATGTATATTTGACCATCCAGGAGTCTAAGGTAGGGATTACCAGGTACCATTTCCAAAGCCTTCCTGGGAGGAATTGATTCAGCCAGTCCTAGAGCATGCAGCTGGGTGAGCCTGAGGCCAGCTCGGGCAGACTGAACCATCTTCTTGGATTAGTCCCTCCCCTCTTGGTGCAGACTTCCCACATGTGTTATGCACAAACCCTTCTTCAGATGATTACCCAATTAAGTCATTTGACATTTGCCTTTCTGAGCTGTTACTCTAGGTTTCCATTGGCTGCTTTCCAGGTGTTGATTTCACACCTGCCTTGTTCCTGGGGAAAATGAGCATTTGGCTCCACCCCAGCCCTGAGCTTCATCTGAGGCCTGGCTTAGAATGGCTTTATGGATTAGCATCTGAAGGGAGGACAGCCCTGAGGCCAAGAGGAAGAGAGCCAGGACTTCTCGGTTTCTGAAATGATAAACATTCCTGCCAGGTTCCTGGGAACAATGGAATCCTCTGTGAAAGGGCCTGGCCCCCCACCAAAGCTAATTAAGTCCAGCTGATTCTAAAATTGAGTCTCCGACACACTTGGGCTCTGCATCACCTCATAACCAGGAAGAAGATGCCAGAGTATCTCAGGGGCACCTGAGGGTCCTAGGCAACTAGATACAGGAGAAGCTTCTGGACTCTGTTGGCCCTCCCTGTCTTATACTCCTCTCTCCTGGCACATTCTCTCCATGTGCCTTTATGGGCCTGGCTTGCAGGAATGCCCTCTGAAGGTCAACAGCATGTGACTTAGAAATAATGAAAGCTAGCTCTGACAGAGGCCAGGACAGAATTCAACCCAGAAGATGGGTATGGAGAGGAAACTACATGGTATCCAGTGTCAGTGAATACTCTTCCTCCCCAGGCCACCTCCTCTTGACCAGCATTGTCTTCACCTTCTTCATCTTCTTAGATTTCAAAGTGTACATATTTGTGAAACTTAAATTTCCAGTTCCAGTGTGAGATCTAATTTGTATGGGTCATAGCAAAAGACTTTCAAGATACCTATTAAAGATGGTGAAGCAAACTGTATTCAAGGGGGCCATGGCCAGAGGTATAGGGACGACTGCAACAGAGTGCAGTGATTACAGAAGTAAAGAAGAAGACTGGTCTCAACTCCAACAAGGACAAGTAAGGTTCTATAACCAGTGAGCCTGATGGGAGTGAGTGAATGAAAAATTATTAAAATTACTAAAAGGAAACATCAAGAATAAGGAATTCCTGGCTAAACTGTCTGATAAGATTATTGCTGAAGGCAAGCCAGGGTGATAAGTTTTCAAGGTGGTTAAATACTAAGGGTGGGAAATTTTTGCTGAACTTAGTAAGATTCTTACACAAAGTGGGTACTTCAAGGACAGAAAGAGAAGCTCACCATCTAGCCTAGTCAAAAAGAACTCAGTAGCTTAACTAAAAGTTTGGTCAAAGCTAGGTTATGGTGTGAAAGGAGGTTGGACTTGGAAGTCAGGAAATCTTGACCTTGACTCTCAGCTCCTGATGACATTACAATTAGCTAGTGCCCCCTCAGTTTCTTCATGTGTAAAATGGGAATGCTACCTATTCATGTGGCTTCTTGTGAAGATTTCATGAGATTCAATATGTCAAGGGCCTCGCCCTAATAGATGTTCAGTAGCCACGAATTGTCTGACTCATATCCCCAGCATGGGGCATCTGACTGAAACACCCCACCCAAAAATGTAAACCATAAACCTACTGAGAGCATCTCAGTCCCCTGAAATATCACTGTCTTCTGTTTTAGGATTCAGAATTTAAATTATCTATACTTGTGCTTAACTAGTAAATCCATTAGAAAGTCCTGTGAGGAATTAGACAACAGACTGTAATGAGTTAAAGAGGTCCAGAAAGGAGTGGGTCATGGTTTTATATAGTTGGAGGCTCGCTCTGTTGATAATACCTGAAGAAATATTTGGATTTGGACAAAGCCAGCAGCCCTTGACCCTAAGCCAATTTGCTATCTACAAACAGGTGGGTTTCTGCACACAGGCCAGTAACCCAGCAGTAACAGTTAATACACATTATTAACAATTGCCATTTACTGAATGCTTGCAACAATCATGGTGGGCCCTAGGATAGATACTTCATGTACATTTTATCTGAGCCCTACAACAACCCTAAAAGGTGCTTTATAGAGAATAAAAGTAAACTAACTTGTCTAAGACATTATAGCTGACTCAAAGCCAATTCCCCGTGTTTTTCCTGAATATGCAAGCCAGCTTTGCTTGGCTCTGGTAAACATGGTGCCTCTGACATAAACATTTGCAGGCTTGCCTTCTTATAAACTCCCTTGTTTGGTAAGTCTGCACACAAGAGGGACATGGGGAGACACACAGACACACACGCACATACACACACATACACACACACACACACACACACACACGGTAGGGGCAGGATACCATGATGAACAGAGCAATGGGGCTGGAGTCCAGAGTCCAAAGTCCATGGGTCAGTCCCTAATAACCTGTGTCCTGTTACTCCACCTCCAAGGGGGTTTTTACAAAGCTCAGATGAGTAAATGCATGTGAATATACCCTATCAATTGCAAAGTTCCTCATAAATTTAAAGGGTGTTACTTTTTCATCTCTTCTTCCTCATCCTAATCCTCACAAAGTTGTATGGTTAAGGCACACATTCTCCTCCTTGTAGTTTCTTGCTTCCTGGTCAATACATCTGGTGAACCTCATTTTCTTGGAACATTTTTCTCTTCCGCCACTCTACCTCCACCACCCACAAAAATACACACCTACAAAAGGAACCCTGGTAAATGAATCATGTGCTTTTGCTTCCTAAGTATCCACTGGAGCCCATTTATAGTCACATACAGAAAAAAAAAAAGTCTCTCAAATTATTTGGCTCTCAGCAAAGCCAAGTAATTGAGTCCCATTTCCAACTTCCCTCATGTCTCAGTGACAGGATTTGTAGAACAGGGGAGTCACGTCCTCCTCCTTCCCTAGGCTTCCTCCTGTAGCTCCTATCACCACTTTCCCGACTTGCACCCCCAGTTTCCTGGCTCTCCTGTGCCATTACCACTTTGTAATGGAAATAGCTGCCTACCCATCTGATGCCAACAACTGATGAGACAGGAGCAAACATCATACTCAAGGGTAAGCTATTTGTGCAAATATGTCGCTGGGTGGCCTGCCTCTAAAAATGAACTGGCCAGTTGGAGTCCTTTTTGGGAACTTGTACTAAGACATGGAAAAAGCTACACAGAAAGAATTTTACAGTTGGGAAGGGAAACAAAGGCAGAAGAAGATGCTGTGGTTTACACTTTGGAGTCAAGTTATGGTGGACCAAAGGTAAATGCTAGTTATGAAGGAACAGAAAAGGAACAGGAAGTAAAGGAGTGAGTCTGTGGAGAGAACTGGCCAGATGAGAGAGAAGAGATGGAAGACAGAGGCAGAGACTGATTGGTCCCCAGAGTTGTGTTGGTTCATGACAGTTTTCCACACTAATTCATGTTCACAAATTTACCATACACCCTCTTTCTCAAGAAGTAACTTAACCTCCAAATTGGGCATCTAGAAGAGCTAAATTGAAAAAGACCTGTGAAATCAGCTGGATCTGATTAGTTCCTAATCCACTTGTTAATAGGTTGTATAAAGCTAACACATTAAAGTAAAGCATCAGGAAATCATGGAGTACTTGCTAAAATACAGATTTAGCAAGGCTTGGAAGATGCCCGGAAACTTCATACCTAACAATATCCAGATGATACTGA